TTCTAAAAGCTAGGAATAAATACAGCCAGAAGGTTTAAGAAATTGTATTGTACAAGAACATGAACTAAAGGTGATTGTTGACAAATTTATCGTCTGAAACATTTTGTTTATCAACTAAGCAACGACAATTTCCGAATTTTCGTTTGAGATACATTTCTTTAAAAAAAACTGTGTCGCCAAATATAAAAAAATTTCGTGTTCACAATAATTAAACTTTAAGATTTATTCTACAATTTGAGTGGGTTAAGAAGCTTAACTTTTCGAGAGTTTTCTTAACTTTTGAGTTTGAATTTTTGTTTTGAATAATTTTGCAAATATTTTCGAAGTCGTGTCCGTTAAAATCAACAATTTTTTACATGAATTATATTTTATTCCATACTTTAAATGCCAGGACGCTTTCAATTAATGTCTAGTCTACCCATTTGCTATATTTTCTCGTTTGTTTTACTAATTTTTGACAAATTAATAAGCATGTTTTTGTTTTAAAAATTGATATTCAAATTCCCCGCCATATTTTCATAATTTGGTGCATGCGCAGACATTTTTCCGCGGTGTTAATAGATGGAGAAATCCGAATTTTTGTCATAAAAACAACGATTTTAACGAAACTATCCAGGTGACTTGCTGTTTCGTTTTAATTTCAAGAAAATGGGTTAGATTGGACATTTTTAACAACAAATGGGGCTGCAAACACTACTTGAAAGCTGCGAAAATGGAAAATTATACTCGAAAGAGTGAAGTTCGAAACTTGTGTTGACAAGTCAAAAAGTGATCAAAAAGTTGTTCTACACGATGTTCTATACTCCAGTTGTGTCGTTTTTGCGGCAGAAAAGCTCAGAAGTTGTTCAGAATTGACATTCCAGTATATTTCGTATCGTATAATGTTCAGGTAAGAACATAATTCACTTTCTTCAACGAGAAAAAACTAGCAAAAAACAAGTCTCGACCAAAATGTCTCAGTCTTTGAGAGTTCGATACGTATGTTGATCTGATTTTAAATTGTGTATTTTGATTGTCAGGATATTAACCCATTAAGTACAAACTCAACTTGCCAAGCAGAGAGTCTTGCCACTGAAATATATAGGATATAGGTTATCACAATCTGTGGGCAGACCGCGCCTTCAACTTTCAAAATCAAATAAAAGTTTTTCAAAAGCTCAACCGTACTTCTTGTGTGAATAGAAAAGATCACTTACTGTTGTTGTTGAAAAATTTTGTCCAGATATGAAGCTTAAAAGCGACTTTTCCTTAAAAATGCCACTTTTTGAATTTCGAACTGCGTTTTCCCTATAGTTTTGACTGAAAATGCAGCGACGGTGCTGGTAGCCTGAGTGTCAGACGAATAACGAATTTTATTATATGGCAAGCATTTGTTTTGATGAATCCGCGCAATTTGATTGGCTGCTGACGAGGCAGGATTTTCCCGTATTGCCCGTGGGCAATACGTAATTTTTAATGCCCTTCGACGAGAGCCGAGTTTCAAACAGCAAAAAGTGTCTAAAAGTCTTTCAAAACTATTCAAAACGAAGAAAATAAACCTAAAATAAAAAGAGGAGCAACTGCTGTGGTTAAAGAACTTTCTCCATACGTTTTTGTTAGCGAAAGTCAAAATAACAAGGTAAATTTTACAACTTTATAACTATAAAAGCAGTCAGGAATAGTTGTGTTTTGACAATGCGAAGAGCTGCAAATTTTATTTGCAGATAGCCAGGAGGAATTTGACATCATCCTAAATAAAAAATACAACTAAAACAGCCACAGATTTATAATTTTTCCCTGAAAATGTCTGTTTTTGTTAGATAAAAAGAGACATAAATATGAGATGAAGCGAACTAAAAACGTACTTGTTTTTGTAATTTTATTGAATTTTATTGTTTTCATATTTGTTGTCTTTGATTAAATGACGAAATACCTCGTATTTTTCTTGAAATACTATCCAAACTGTGTTAGTATTCTATATAAAAAGTACTGTAGAGCAGTTTTACTATTAACCAAAGAACATTTTTTACAATTGTTTTTTTTTGCAAACTGTTTCGGACTTTGTACTTTGCCCTCGCGTGACCTTTTCTTCCATTTTTTACAAACGTACAATGCCATATAATAAAAAACTTACTGACCTCAACCGTTCGGGCAGTACGGGAAAATATCCAACCTCGGTCTTGCTGTATTGACCTCGCTATCGCTCGGTCAATACAGCAAGACCTCGGTTGGATATTTTCCCGTACTGCCCTCACTCTCGGTCAGTAAGTTATTAATATTCGTTATTCGTCTGACACTCAGGCTACGGTACTGGCTGCTGGCATATTTTTTTGGAATATTTAATTTGCTTTTGATGGCGTGTAAATGGTGTCAGCTTCGCAAATCCGTGTGACGTCCTAAACACTGCATTTTTCACCGAGTGAACTCTCTTTATATCTTTACTCTTTGGCCCAATCTCGAAACCAGAGCCCGCAATCCTCTGTGGAGGCTTGCTGAGGCTCTGGGAAACACCGGCGAAAGTAGGGCTCTGATTGGTTGTTTTTCAACATCCTCGTCCCCAGGCCAAAGCGGACCTCAAAGTTTTTCAAGTGCTAATTATTATTCAAACTTTGAGCCGTATTTAGTTATTCGGATTTCAAACATCGTTTAAAATTAATATAAAGTTTATTTCTCTTTGTGTATTATGTTTAAACATATCAATGAAACACACAGCATAATTTTAATAAACTTATTAATCTTCCCTAGCTTCTCATATGAAATCAATAGACTATTCAGATATTGATATGCCAATAACAAAATGTAGAATAACAACAGTGCGCATTAACATATAAGGTCATGATAAGCCGTTGCCTATAATATTTAAAATAACACAACAATCCATGATTTACCGTAATTAACAAGTTAAAATAAATCACTACCAGTATCTTACAACAATTCAAAACCATGGCAAGTGTCAGTTTGAAGAACTAAAGTCGTAATAAGCTTAAACAACGGCATAATTCATGTTTGACGGCAGTAATGTCTATTTATAAATGTCGAGCGGAGTACTGGATCCAAATGTACTGATTTTCGTGCAAAAGTCGCCGGTGTTTCTCAGCAAGCCTCCACAGAGGATTGCGGGCTCTGGTTTCGAGATTGTCTTTGGCCAAATCTAAAGTTCATCAATGAGCGCGGGCGTGGGTTACCGTGAGTGGTTCGGTGGTTCGGTGGGTGGTCATCCTCACTGATCTCAAAAATATGGCTGACTGTCATGAATAGCGGACACTGATTGGTCCAATTTAAAGTTTGCATTATAACGACTATCGACTGTATGACGACAGCGAAATAGCAAAACATTTCTTGATTTGATGATTGATAAATTTCTTGCAAATATATTTAATTTTTGCTCGCATTTTTGCAAGATTTTGTAAATTTCAAGAAAAAAAGGGCGAAAGAATCGGCTAAAAGAAGAGAGCCGACGTCAACGAAAGTAAGTTTGTTTTAAAGATTGATTTTATAATTGCTTTAAAACCCGGCGGCCGCTTTGGCCCTTTGGCTTTGCGTATATGAAACAACTAAACAAGACAGCATATAATTTCAGTGTATTAATAATATTGATTCCCTTTTTTATTAGGCCTATATTGAATTTTTTAAATAAATAAAGAAAGCAAAATTATTTGCATGCGAGAATTTGAAATCATTTTATTGCAAACTCAAAGTTTATCGATAAAGCCATTTTAATAATTAAAGGCAGTTTTAATAGTTTTATAAAGAACGTTTTAAAACGTTTTGCGAAGCTTTTGTGGTTGAATTTTACCTTAAATTGAAGCTTATATTACGTATAATAACATACCTAACATATATATGTTGGGAAATTGATAATTTTGTAATTAAAAGTGATATTTTTAGGCGATTTTTCATTTGTAAGAATATTCTTAAAAAATTATCGTGTTACCATGACAACAACTTTGGATACTTTATGTTCTGAAAATACAATGGTTTTGTCAGCAAGGCGAGGGTTTCTGCATGCATGTATTTTCTAGTTGAATACGGGATTGAAAAGTAAGGTAACTACGTATACGTTTCAGCAGATAAAGTCTAGAGTTAATTATATTGTAGATGGTATTAATTTGCTTATCCCATTTCAAATGTTGGTCTAATGTAACTCCAAGTAAAATGGCGGGTGTAATCTCCTTAACATTATTGTTATTGACCTCAATGGTTATTGGACTAAGATCAGGGAATTTAGATTGGGAATATATTTCCATTATTTTAGTCTTGTCAGAATTAAGAGACATTTTGTTATGGTTAGTCCAACGGGACACTGAGGTCATATCTGACTTTAGAGAGACACTAAGTTCGTGAAGGTCCGATCCGGAAGATATTAGTGTAGAATCATCGGCAAATAAAAAAGGCTTAGAACTTCCAACGTTGGTAAATCGTTAATAAAGATAAGAAAGAGAACTGGTCCTAGTATAGATCCTTGAGGCACACCAGACTTTATCAGAGCTGAGTTGGATAGGGATGATGCAATTTGTACCACTTGGTAACGATCATTTAGATACGATTTAAACCATTTTAAGGCTATTGGAGTAATGCCATATTGTTCTAATTTCTGCAGTAGCAATCTGTGATCGACCAAGTGAAACGCTTTAGAGAGATCAATTAGAGCTATACCATTAATTAAACCTTGCTCAATGTTATCGAGAAGGTATTCATAGATCAATATTAGAGTAGATTCACAAGAGTGATGGGCTCGAAAACCATGCTGACAACTCGATAGAATATCATTTTCTGTGAGAAATTTTACATATGAGTTGACAACATGTCGTTCGAGAATTCTCGTTTAGATAGAATCGGTAATATAGAAATGGGCCTGTAATTGTTTCTCTCAGTACGTATTTCAGCTTTATAGATTGGAATCAGTCTAGCTTTCTTCCACATGCTGGGAAAGACACCATTTTCAATGCTCAATATTGCAAATGCGAAGTATTATGGGTGCAATGGAATGAATTGAGGCTTGATGAAGTAGGCAGGAATACCATCAAGACCGGTTGACTTGTTCTGATCCAATTCGGCTGCAAGATTTAGTATGTCATCGATTGTTATCAGTGGAATTGTAAACTTAATATGATTTGTTGCAATTGGTAAATGAGTATTAATTGGATTGTTTAGTAAACTGATATCGAAGTTGTCTGCAATAGAGGAGAAGTATTCATTAAAGAGATCGCCAACCTCGATAGGATCACTGAACATAAACAACAAAATTCTTGTAGCGACACACTGGCAACAGATCACAACAGTTACAACAGTTGCGACAGGCTATAAACGTGTCGTAACGGTTATTTTTAAACAGAAAAACGACAGCGTGGCAACAGTTTGTCTTTAAAACTGCCATCAGCTGCTTGTACGATCCCTGGGTACGAAATTAACTTGCGACAGTGTCACGACAGTTATAACCATATGGTCATCGCGTGTCGAGGGTTAAATGTCGAAGGGCGAGGGTAAAATGTCAAGGGTAAAATATCGAGGGTAAAATGTTGGAGGTAACATGTCGAGGGTTAAATGTCAACTACTACATGTCGAGGGTGAAAAAATCAGACGTAAAATACTATATTAAGGTCAGGTGACCGCTTCGGATAAGGAAATAACGACGTCTACGTTTTATCTTAGATAGATAGATAGATAGTCTAATGAGTCACTTTTTGCAGTACAACTGGGTAAAATTATATTAGTTGACTGCATCTAAGGACGAAAAGGGCTCATATTCAGTTATGCAAATTTGTTCTCGAAAACTCTTAAATCTTCCGGATTGGTTGGATCAGTGAAAATATGCCAATAACCACCTAAGCTAACCTTATATGCAAATGATATAGTAAATTATTGCTGCGTGGACAAATTCCTGCATGTCGCATTGAATTAAATACCATAAAATGTTAGCATAATTTTTACCATTTTCCGTTGGGCATAGTATGTTTGGGCATACTTTCTAAAATTGAAATTCACAGGAATTATATAAGTTAAATTATCTTTGAAGCAATCTGATTGGCTGAGGGGCCTTTCAGAGCGGGCCGTTGTTTTGCATCCGGGCCGCTCTGAAACGCAACTGCCCGCTGTGAAATGCAACTGCCGGCTCTGGCTTAGTCGTATTCGCGGCAAAAACCGAGGCTTGTACTTCAAACAATTTTTGAACGAAAAAATCTGGCCAAAACGTTTGAAGAACGTAGCCTAACGATAGTCAGAATACGAGAATGAATTACACCAAACCCTAAAGACTTGAGTCAGTCTAGGGTGGCCCAAAAAACCCAATTGCATTCGACGCGACCGAAATTTGACGTATAAAATTCGACGTATAAGGCCTAAGGATCTTATTTATTCGGACTTTGGAGCAAATTAACATATACTCCCTCTATAGTTAAAAAGAATTTCAGTATGGGGTCCACAGTATCAAATACCTGTATGTAAATCTGGTGAAATATATTGATTGATTGATTGATCAGGGCCGGATTAACGTTCCGGCCCGTGACATATTATCGACCCCCTTGACCCCCTGCCCCCCCCAACCGCCCAACACTGAATTCAGTAAGATTAAAAATACCTTTTGTATTTTATGCGTTGAAAAGTTTCCTGTGTATTTACAAAAAGACTTAATATATACGTGCTTATTTACATGCAGTATGTTGGATTTTGACGATATAACGGATCGATCGACAATATATTTTGAATAATTCAGGTAAGGATAGCTTTATTTCTTTCTGGTGATATACATGAAGGCATGTGTATTTAGATTTGCTGTTTAGTGTTCGATATAGAGGTATTGAAACCAATATGATTTCATGAATTTGTAGTTCAAATAGCCCGCTGATCGTACGTCTTTATATTTATACCAGCAGTCAAAATGTACTTTTAGTAAAAATTTATCTCTGAGATATGTCCATTGGTTAGCATTATATGTAATAATCCTACCGGCCTACATTCATATATTCACCTGCTCAAATAGATTTGTCTCCTCATTAGCAGACTGTTCAGTTGTTCTGCGATAGGGGTAGCCTTGAAGGTGCCATTAAAACAATAATCGCGTCGTACTCATTTTCGCTCTGCTTTAAATTCGCCGCGATTTAATTTCGCGCATCTTGTTCAAGGTCCAGACACACCGGACGCGATTCGACAACGCGACGCGATTTTTTAGTTTTTGAAAGTTAATAAAACAGCCACTGAGCAGTGGCGTAGACAAGGGGGAGCAAAGGGGGGGGGGGGCTCAGCCCCCCCCCCCAATTGGCTGAAGGACTGCCCTTGTAAAAAGAGGAAATCCGGGTAGAAATTGGGGGGCGGGGGCGGACGATGACTACCCATGTGACTACCAATCTCATCTGTTCACCAAATTGTCTATAAAAGTTCTAGTCTTTACGTAAATCTAACTACAGAAAATAATGCCTGCGGTGGTATGGTTAAAACGCCTTTTAAAACTTCGATTTAACTATTTACATGACTGCAAGCTTCGATGAGTCAAATTATGGATCCCTGTGTGAAATCATTAAAAACTGGTGTTTCCTGCAGTAATAATCTTGTGAATTATATCTCACTAGAAACATGAAATCACCATCTCGGATTTCGGGATTTTGGGGGAACACTTTCCCCTTTTGGCTTATGCCTCGGCGTTGATATATCCCCCAAATTATAGTCTGGCTACGCCACTGCCACTGAGAGCAAATTTTGAATGATATGTAGACCAAATAACTCCAAATGTTATAGCGCTTCTAAATATTTGGAAAATTTAAAAAATCGCGTCGCGTTGTCGAATCGCATCCGATGCATTGTGTCTGGACCTTTAGACTTTATATTCGCGCAACTTTGAGTTCGGGCAAGAAATTTCCCGTGTTCGTTCTTTTTGCTTTGTTTAACAGAACTATTAACAATTAACTAAAACTATTGCCTAACATTATACATTATAAGTCAAACAATTTTTAGCTAGATCGAGTTGAAATGGATCCTCTTTTCGTTGTAGCTCCTCCATCGTTGCCAACCTTTGACGACAATGTCAATGTTTGAGGATCTGTGGCAAAATGCAGGCATTCGTGACGGAATGCTACGTGGAACCTGAGAATATCCCGACTGAAATTGTCGAGGAGGAAGACATTTTTTATTTTTTATGTTGACAGGACAACTTAAAACATATGATATGTCAAATGTGTATATATGCGTTAATAAATCAACTGATTTGCATTACTAACAACCGGAGTCTCATAGGCATAACAAAGCTTTTCGCGCGGATTATATTTCGCACAGCACTAAAATTCGCCCATCCAGCGCTGCGCGAATTCTAGTACTGCGCGAATTTTAATACAAGTAAGGTATCAGGAAATTGTTATTAAATTAAACTCTACATGTCCAATGATTCATTCAAGTATTATCATTGCTGATATGTATGACATTGTACAGTATCCAGTGGCAAGCTAGCCATGGCAACTGGTCATGCTATGCTAATAAACCTGGCCAACCTGCAAATCATTAAAAACTTGCATAGCATGACTTGTTGCTATGACTAGCTTCACCATTGAGATTATTATAATTATACATACAAAAGCAAGAAGTTGTAAGCATTGAAGATATTCATATAAAACCCCCCATGCCAAGAAAGCAGAATTAGAATATTCGACTTTGTGCAAGGTGTTTGATATTCAAATTGCACTTTTCGGTCTTGTAATGTAGTCACGTCATGTCACGTGATGTAATATATATTTAGGTATCAGAAAGAGACCACGTGTAAGAAAATAGGGTTTTGATATTGAAGGCAATAAAAGTACATTTTTATACTGTACAACTTGTACTAAAGAGATACATTATATTTGGCGACGAGTGTATTTTAATGCTGAACCCAAACGAAGAAGAAGTGAACACAGAAGAAATCTCGATGGCCACAACTTTGGATTTAAAACCACCACCTCCGTTTGATGCAGAGGCCGGTGATAATTCCTCGCTAGCCCAACGCTGGAAAGAATGGCGAGAACGTTTTAATATGTATACAGTAGCTGCCAACATCAAGGATGATGCACAGAAACGCGCAGTGTTATTGTATGTAGCTGGCCCGTCGGTTCATAAAATATTCAAAACACTACAAGACACCGGGACAGATTTCAAAACAGCTCTAGAGAAGCTCGACGAATATTTTCAGCCACAAAAGAACGTAACATATGAACGCTATGTGTTTAAACAGACACATCCAACGCCTGGAGAATCGGTAGATAGCTACATAACTCGTCTACGTACACTAGCCGAAACGTGTGAATTCGAAAGCGCCGAGAATGAAATACGCGATCAGTTTGTTATGACATGCTGGTCTCATGGATTTCGTACGAAGCTTTTACGCGAGACAGATCTGACATTGGCTAAGCTTATTACCATGGCGCGAGCGAAGGAATTAGCAGAAAAACAAGCGTCGAATATCTCGGGACACAATAACTCTCGGAACAATGTTAATCGTGTAAAAGACGAGGGAAATGACGAAGCTAAAGACAAGGTAAGACATGCGAAATATGTACCAAAACCACACAAACAAAATCAATGCCGAAATTGTGGAAATGAATTTAAACAAGGGCATAAAGATGTCTGTCCTGCGAAGGGCAAAACCTGTAGAGCTTGTGGAAAGCTCAATCATTTCGCTAGAGTTTGTCGAAGTCGAAAAAATCCCCCGAAAGATAGTAAGAAAGATTCGAGAGAGTCTGTTAGAGTTGCACAACAACAACAAACCCAAAAACAAAGCCCTCCTAATTCGTCCGATGATGAGTATACTTTTGCTGTTTCATCATCAAAAATAACTAACATTCAAATACAGATCAATGGGACCCCTATCGCTGTGACTATCGATTCAGGAGCGACGACAAATATTCTTGATAGTGAAGCATTCGCTTGTATTAGGAAAAGAAATAAACATGTACAATTAGAGCCAACACAAACAAATATATATGCATATAATGCCGTTCAGCCCTTGCCATTGCTCGGAAAGTGTCGTTTAGCGGTTGAATCGAATGGAAAGCGTACAATATCGACGTTTTATGTTGTCAACGGCAAAGCGGGATCACTTTTCGGTAATGAAACAGCCGCAGAGTTAGGCATTTTAAAAATAAAAGTTAACGAAGTCTCTAAATTTCATAGCATGAAAACAACCGGAAGTCGAGGTAGGAATGAAATCAACACCGGAAGCCACTCAAACGGAAGTGACGCGAACAGTCAAAGTGACTCCGGAAATCGAGAAATAA